CCCAGATCTCCGACGGCATGCTTTTATGCCTGACTCCCCGCGTTGCTCTTCGATGTCGGCCTCTGGGGCCCACTGTCGAAAAAAACTGCTCCGAGGAGGAGGCGGAGGAGGAGGAGGAGGAGGAGGAGGAGGAGGAGGAGGAGAAGGATGAGGAGGAGGAGGGGGAGGAGGAGGATCATGGAGTAAAAACTGCTCAGAAGTTGAATTTGGACCAAAAACTTCCCCCGAGGGGGGGGCTCGGGGCCTGTGGGGCCGCGCCTGGATGCGACCACATCGTCGGCTGTCTCGTCCTGGGGGAAAAAGGGGTCCTGGATTCTGTTCGGGGGCGCCCAGGAACGTCAGGGCCCGAGGCATGTACGCGCCCGGAAGGGGGGCCAAGGGACGTACTGAAACAGGGAGAGAGGCCATGAAATCTGGGGAGATCTCATGGCCCGGTTCATGATATCCCACCCCCTTATCTCCCCCCCGCGCCCGTAGTCACCACCACCCGATTTGTTCCCCGTGCTCGGGCCCTCCAAGGGCCCCAGGTCAGTCCGCAGACGACTCGGGAGGAGGAGCGGGTCCTCGGGCGAGCCGAGGGATCCAGGCCCCGCTTCCACCAGGACTCCCCCCTTCAGATCTGACGCTGCGAAACAATAGCGACATCGCAGAAAATCACGAACAGAGCACTAGACCCCGTCCTTCTGCAGCATTAGTCGAGCCAGATCGATCACTGAGGGTCCTGTGGCCCGAAAGCGGGCGAGAACGCTCCGTGCTGTAGAATTGCAACGCCCGGGTCTGAGGGCTTTCCTTCCGGCGATCCGGAGAGGCAAAAGGGCCGCCGCCAGGCAGGCGCCGCGCAGGCGGCCGGGCAGGCAACAGGCTGGCAGCAGGGCACGCACCAGACACAGGGCGGGCGGGCAGGGCTGGCAGGCACGGGGCAGACAGCCCTGACGTCCGGCGGTACGATTTTTGCAATCCGCGGCCCCAAGTCCCGACCGCTTCCCCAGGGGCCGTTTCTCGTCCTGGAGCCGTTTTTAATGGTCCTTGGGCCCACGTACACCCTCGACGGGGCCGAAACCGCGGGACGAAGAAACCACACCGTCGGAAATCTGCGGGGGGGCGGGGGGCGGGAGAGAGGCGTGCGTGGGGCTCCGCGCGGCCCAGCCTCCTCGTGCGGGCGTGCCGCCTGTATATGGGCCGCTTCCTGTAGTCCTAGAAGACCCAGACGACCCAGACCCCCCAGGCGTCGCGCTTCGTTCAGAGTGGGCCCTGGGAGGTCTGGGCCCCTTCCCCGCGTGGGAGTAAGGAAACGCCACACCACCATCACCACCAGGGACCACTGGCGGCAGGAGCCAGGCGGGGTCCCCGTGGTGGCGTCGCCCCCTCCCCTCGCCTGAGACATCCCCTACCCCCAGCTCGACGAAACATCATGGACCTCCTCGCTGGAGGTGCCCCGCCTGATGGTGGTGGTGTCGCTCCTCCTTCTCCCGATCCCAGGGGCCCGTCTCACAGCCCGAGCAACTTTTGACAATCCTGGGGCCTGGCCGGGGGCACCCCCAGAGGCCAAGGGTGGGCAAAATAACCCTTCCGAGGGTGACTTGTTTTCACGGCGCGACGGGGTCTGGGCAGGCCCGTGGATGCCAAGGCTCGGAACAGAAAAACTGGCCGGCGGATGCCCAAACCCGGAACAACAGAGCGCCCGAGGTCTGGACTCACATATCCGGGGGCCGATTTTCTAGATTCGTGAATCCCTGGACCTCTCGACCCCTTCTCCGCGGCCCGTTTTTCACACCGCATCGCGTCGCCACCAGCACGACAGCTGTATGCACTGTCAGTGGGGCAATTCGCCGCCTCATGGCAAGCATTTGGGCACCTGCCGTTTAAGACTGTGACCGACTTTTGAATTTAAGATCGCAGGGGGGGCAACTTTGTTTCCAGGGCCAGATCCCCGTACGCTCGCCGGGGGCTCTCGATCATTCAATGGCAATCCTTACGGCCGTTCCTCGCGAGAAACTTTGATCTCAGGCTTGCTCTTGCCGACGATTGGGCTGCTTAGGCTTGCTTTTGCCCTACAGACATTGCGCCTTCTTCCGTCGCCCCAGGAACACAAATCGCGTTCGCTGCCCGTCAACGAGCTACAATCTGAGTTTCACCACGGCCCGCTGAAATCCGACGCTGACAGTATGACAACATCGCAGAAAATCGCGACCAAAGCTCCGCACCCCATCTTTACGCGCGGTTTGTCGAGCGGGATTGATCTGTGAGGGTCCTGGGGCCCGACATCGAACGAAAACGCCCGTTGTAAAAAAAAGGCAACACCAAGATGTCAAGGACGGTCAGAAACTTTTGCTTAACGTGTCGCTGCGGCGGCCCCGGCGACACGCTGTGCCCTGCAAGCGGATGGCGTGTCGCTCCGCTCCGCGGGGCGGGAAGCTGGGAGAGCGATCGGGGCGTAGACGGCGGGGGACTGGTCCGTGGACAACGTGCCGCGCCGAAGCGCAGTGGACCAGAACCGGCGGAACGACACGCTGAGCCAAAACCGCCCCCCCCCCCCACTCCTCAGTCCCTGAGATCTTGGCGTTGGAATTTTTGTCACCGCGGCGTTTTTTCGCTCAATTTCGGGCCTTGGGTCCTTCACGTGTCGATCCGTCTCGAAAAATGAGAAGGATGG